GAAAATGGCGCTCAGGGAATTTCCGAGCATTGCTTGATGGAACCTCCAGATATCATGCAGGAAATAATAGTTTACTGCTAAGTATTGCCTATTTTGATGTATTACAATCCGATTATTTAATGTTCAAATGTTATAATAATAATCCGGCAAATTCCAAACAAAATTTGTGCAATGCACATGCAACATAATCGTGTTAAAAAATACAATTTGCTTGTCTTCACTCACAACAGCATTTATGTCCACTTAAATAAAAAAATATGTTTATTGGTTCATTTAATCAAAAATATTAAAAATATTGAATTATCTTTTTCACCCCCTAGAACAAAATTTATTAGCTTTGGATCTATCTTATTTTAATGCATTGTACGAAATTATCTTGTAACATGTTTTGTAACATGAATTCGAAAAATTACGCAGTTATTACTCCGAATATAAATATGAACGTTGGTATTATATTACATCCAAGACGATTATTTTATTATCTGTATTTGGGCATTTGCTCCTCCAACATTGGCAACAATTCAATTCACTTGTCTCTTCAAAAAGCGACGCTTATTGTGCAATAGCGCGATTGTATCAATGGCGAATTGGGACGATTCTATCTTGCAAACAATTATGCTTTTAACAAGTTTGAAAGTGGATGTCATAATTATTCTTGGAGTGGTCAATGCAATTATTGTGGCAACGTTGATATAACGCTAGGAGACCAAAAAATTATTGCCCGTTATATTTTCCCATTTCCAAGAATTTGGAATTTTGATCACGCTACCTTTACCTGATTTGTATTAATTGACTTGGCTGGGCTAGTTAGTGTAACAAAAAAATATATTAAAAATAAGTAAATGCATATCACACTCGAACATATTCCACTCTTTTTTTTTTTTTTTTTTTAAAAAGAAAAAAAAAAAATCCTCGAATCTTAACCTCTTCTCTTCCCTTACAATAATGTCAGACCAATTTTTCTCTCTTTTATCACGAGATTATACCAGACTCCTTGATTCCGATGCATACTTTGATGTTATCATTCAAGTGGGACAAGAACTCGATTATCAAGAATTCCGAGCGCATTCACTCGTATTACGAACACGTTCGCCTTATTTTAACGTCGCTTTGTCAAGCGGTTGGATAAGAAAACAAGGAAACACGATAATATTTAATAAACCAAATATATCACCAAAGGTTTTCGAAGTTGTGCTCAAGTAAACATTTTTTGTTTTTATATTATTTCTTTTTTTTTTGTTTTTTTTTATTCCCTTTTTTTTTTTTTGTTATTATTGTTGTATCTTGCTTTTTAAGAAAAGATTCAATTTTAAAATTCGGTTACTTGGTGTGAAAAAAAAATCTTTTGATGGATATTAATAGATATATCTATGGTGGTTCTCTTGAATTACTAGAACTTGATGTGCCAGTGATTCTATCTGTCCTCACTGCGGCAGACGAATTATGCTTAACTGAAATCTTTGATTACCTTGAAGATTATCTTCTTCAAGACAGTGACAAGTTACTAAAACATTTTGTTCAAGTTCAAAAATTTGCATCACAGCATCACCTTTTCACAAAATTACGCGCGTTTTGTGTTAAAACGATTGAGCAGGATCCTTCAATCATGTTCGAGCATGAAGATTTTAATCTTATCACACAAGAAACATTGATCACTCTTTTAAAATGTAATAATCTTGTCATGCGAGAAATAGATTTATGGAATAAGGTGGTTGGATGGGGAAGAGCGCAAGATTCGTGCCTGTCATTTATGGGAAATGAAAGTTGGACTAATGAAAATTTCTTGATATTAAATGGTTTAATCCAACCATGCATTCGTTTAATTAATTTTGCATCCATTAACAGGGATGATTTCTTGGAAAGAGTCGCACCTTTTAAGCAAGCTTTTGATGACGATTTTTATGAACAAATTTTGAAAAATTATGAGTCACAACCACCAACCAATCAACATCAGAATGGAATCGATTCGGTTTTGATTGATTCGAAACATTTGGCGTTAATATGCGATTGGTTGACAAATGATAAGCATGTATCGTATCAAAACATTCCTTTTGAATTTCATTTACTTGTAAGAGGTAGTAGAAATGGGTTTGGGTATAAAGTCTTTCATGAATTATGTGATTTGAAGGGTCCAACCATAACGATCTTGAGGGTTCATACTTCTGGGGAATTAATAGGAGGATACAATCCCTTGAATTGGGATTCCTCGAAGAAAATTTATAATAAAACGAACAAGAGTTTTATCTTTTCCTTGGGTGATAAGAATTTACAAAATACGATATATTCAAAGATACGAGAACCCGATGAAGCGATTTTTCAGTATAGGGCATTGGGTCCATGTTTTGGTGGTGGTATCTCTGATTTAAAATTATATTTGGGATTTGACGATGCTTATGGATGTACAGGTAATTGTTTTAAGAAAAGCTACGAGAAAAGCATCATGAAGAAATCTAAATTTTGGGTGGACGAATATGAAGTTTTTAGAATCATCAAAAAAATTCCTTGAGAAAATAAAATGTCTGAGAAAAAAAAAAAAAAAAAATTTAAAACCAACTTTTATTATTATATTTTATACTTTTTTTTTCTTTACAAATAAAAAATAAATTTAAAAACATCTCTATATGAATTCTAATTGAATATTGCTCTTTACAAAAATTTCATTTTTTTCTAACCTGAAACACTTCATAATCTTCTATGGAAAAAAATCCAGAAGTTGTTCTAATACTCTTCTCATAACATCCTTTCAAACAATAACATTTACATTCATCTCTAAAATTGCTACCCTCAATCTTTAAATCTGAAATCCCAAAGGAAGGACCGAGGTTTGGCTCATAATTTAATGCGTAAGTACTTTGACCTTTCACAAGTCTACTTAAAATTGGACTTGTTAAATTGTGATTTTGACCACGCAGAGAAAATATAAAGCTATCTTCGGTATTTCCCCAAGAACCCTTTAGAGATTTCCACCTTATAGGATTGTAACCTCCAATTATTTCCCCTGTACCAAATATTTTTATTATGACCAAAGTGGATTGTTTATTATCACATATTTTATGAAAATTCGTTGGTGCCAATCCATCGATGCTACCACGAAATAATAATCTAAATTCAAAAGGGCTTTCCGTAAAATCAAGATTATCCTTACGACCAATCCAATTCGCGATGAGACTCGCATTTTCAGATGTAATTAATTCCGAATCGATATCATCGATTTTAAAATAAGAAGGTGATTGTAACAGAGGAGAACTTGGACGGGAATTTGGTCGGGAATTTGGTCGAGAATTTGGTCGAGAACAAGGTCGAGAACCAGGTTGAGAACCAGGTCGGGAATTTGGTCGACTATGATTCTTAATGTTATATATTGAAGCGGCAATTCTTCTAGGCGGTAAGATATTTAAAGGTGATTGGCTATTAGATTTCATATAATGTTTCATTAAATCTTCGTAAAGTTGAGGTGGTAAGATTCGTTTATAAGGGCGAACTTTATCATAAAATTCTTGCGAGGATAATTCATAAAATCTAATCAAGGGGATACAACGTTTCAATGTCGATTCCAAGGTCTTGAAATCGTCTAAAGACCAACTTGTGGGATCAGATGTTAGACGAGCATTTTGCGACATGCCCCATCGAATGAGATGATACCATACTTGCACTTCTTTTATTCCCAAATGTTCACGTTGTAAGAGTGAAATCAAAAAGTTCTCTTGAATCGATGCAAAATCTTGTGAATGAAATATTATCTCTGGGGTATTCTTAACTATGTTTGAACAAAATTTTTGTAATTCGTGAAATGTTTGATGTTGAAAACTTGTCCTATGAACGAGTTCAAAATGTTGTCGCAACCAAGGGGTGTGATGTTCCAGTATATATTGTTGTAAATTATTGGTTAATTCTGAAAGGTGAAGTTTTTCGGTTATGATCAACAGGTTTAGCATTTCGCATGGGCTTTGATCTTCCAAGGATAGCACACCAGTATAGATGTATCTAATAATGATGAGAATCATCTTGTTATTTCAATTTCATCGTACGGGGATAACAAAGCGTAACTTAAATCATTGGATTTACTTACTTGAGCATGACTTGAACGACCTCACAAGAGACGTTGAACTTAAATTTAATTCCCCCATCCGCAGACTCTTTTGATAATTTTCTACGAAAATAAGATGACCTATGGTTTAGAATGAGCGAATGCGCACGAAATATTTTATTGTTTGGGGCATGTCCCGCTTCAATGGTAACATCACAATACGCATCTTCCTCGTAAAGTTCTGCTAAATCAAGCGATAACTTTTGATAATATTTGAAGTTCATTTTTTTTTATATTTTATATATATATATATAAAGTTTCTCTTTTTTATAATAATAATATTATTATTAATATTATTTATTTTATATTTAATTTTTAATTTTAATTCTTTTTTACTTTTTTTTTTTTTTAGGAAGGAAAGAAAGAAAATCTTATTTATATATAATATCTAAACGAAAAAAAAATTTTTTTTTCCTTTCTATTTTTCAACCGAATTAGTACATGAAACATTTGTGAAGGCAAACCATATGCAATGCATTCAACGAAAATCTCGTGAAAAGATAGTAGTAATTCTAGAATATTCGTCATTAATTAAATCTAATTTGTTTTTATTTTAAAAGTAATAAAAGGGGACACCTATTTTTATCAACGTGGTTAGTTATGGGTTGAAATGAATTGTTTTTATTCATCATGTTGGCCATAATGCAAATAAAAATAAAGTTTAAGGAGGTTACATGTGTGTATGAAGTCTATTGCAGACTTTGGCGGAATACATATTGGTTGACGCCCTGTTAAGTAGGTTTGTTCGCCCGGAATCGGCGATTTATAATGGCGTATTATTTTAACACCAATTGAATGAATTTTGAGAACTCGTTATGGATTTAAAAAGATTTTATTTCGAAAATTTCGAAAGGACAATTGGTCCAAAAAAAATAAAAATAAAAATAAAAACCTGCATTCTCAGATGTCTTTATTATGAAACACCTCGTAACCTTCCAAAGAAAATTGTTGCTTCAGTATTCCAAAAACTACTTTCGTAATGTTTAAATGCTTTATCATGAGATTCCACGTGATTTTAAATGAAAACTATCATATGTCACATCTATGATTGATGGATAATTATCATCCAATCAACTTGATACCTACTACCTTAATATTTAACAAAAAAATTTTAATTCCAATTATATCACGTGATCCATTCCAAACGCCAGGGAATGTTCATTCATCATCTTTCAACAAATCCAAAGATTTTTTGATTAATCACCTTAAAATGATTTGCCAATTTACGGCTTAATATATACAGGTTTTTATGGTCACGTCAAATTTCGCGTTAACTTGAAATAAAATCGAATAAAAAATTATTATTATTATTATTATTATTATTAAAAAATAGTTCTCGTTGAGAGTATTTTATTTATGACTTTCGTTATTTAAATTGATCTTCTTTAATGCATATATGCACAAGTATGATTTTGTATTTTAATGATCATTATAATTAAAATAGGGAATATATAATACGTAAAAGATGTAATAATAATACAAATAAAAAGAAATTAAATATAGATATACATATAAGTAATTAAATAAATAATATATCTATACTAAATATCATACTAAACTTTAAACCTGAAAGCGAACGAGATTCCATTCAATATTTTATTACCATAAGCTGCATACAATTTATTACCATTTCTACTTGTATTTCGAGAGTAGACACGATTATATGTATCATTGATCGCCGTATCAACTGATTCCGGATCTGACAAGGCGGGAACGTTCTCTAATAAACATCTCATTGTTTCAACGCGTTTATGAGTGGCGGCAAATACAAACGCGTTTGGAAAATGTGAGTCTTTTGGCATCGTTTCTACTCCATAATTTATCAAAAATTTTACATAAACGGGATCATCCGCCAACGCTATCGTAGCGAATAATATATTTGGAAGTTTGTGTGATTTTTGATTATTTGTTGTTTTGATAGATGATGATGATAAAAGTGAATTTGAATGGGAGTGAGTCGGACAGAAATTACAATGTTCACATTCTCCCAAAGAATATGAAACTTGATTATTATAAACCTTTTCTTTCAACGGTTTAGGTTGAGGTATACTAATGTTTGGATTGGCACCTTTTTCAAGCAACTCCTTAACATGTGCCATGTCAGGGGGAATCCCTCCAAATTTTAATCGGTCCACGAATAACCTCTTCAGTATGTAATTCAATTCAACATGGGACTGCTTCTTGGGAGGGTGAGGAGGTGATGGTGCAACTTCATTCGAGAATATAACTAATTTATTCGCAATGTCTTGTATTATACCACCACGAGCTCTTTGAAATGGTTCCGATAATTTTGGAGTCTTCCACGCAGCATTTTGACCGTTTATAATGATGGCGACCAAAAATTGCCTTAAAGATATCGGATCATAAAATATTGGGGGATTCGGTAAAGAAGGACCAAAATAAGGTACCCCATCCTTACATACGATCTCCACGCGATAACCAACTCTATTACTGGTACGCCATCCATATTCATCATCATCAAGTTGGAACTCCACAGGACTAACTATGACGTAAACTTGTAAGAATTGTGAACGTATCGAAGAAGGCAAGAAAGGTTTTGACACATCCTGAAATATTATGCAAACAATGTCATTTCCTATATGACGTTTTCTCGTGATTTGATATTTATTTGCGGTTTCATACGGGAGCATCGTGCTAACGTGATACATGATCTCATAATTTTTAAGGGTTTCGTCATCGTAAACCGAATATTCACCGGTCTCATTCGATTTTGTGTCCAGACCACCCGAAAATCCTTCAAATTCCGATAATTTTACTAACTTTCCCAATATCCCCAAGAAATCCGAGAAAGTTCTTGATGTTGAAGTGTTTGAAAACCACTCCTCTTCTGTCGTCTGTGATGGAGCGCAATACAACACCCCTACTTTATAGGTCGTTTGAAGTCGATCCTCATCGAGAGCAAGCAACTTTTCGGATAATTCTCGTGTTGTTATTAATTTTTTGATACGTGGTTGAACTAATTCACGTGAAATCATTCTCAATAACACATCCCATGGAGGATCATTAAGGGGACTCGGTGGAGGACCCGCCAACACACCACGATCATCAGGCAATTCCTTTTTGCGTAAAATATATCTATACCAATAGATATTATCACGATTATTATTGATGGTTTTTCCATCCAACATTAATGAAATAATCACCGTGCCATATGATTCAGTGATTCCTACAAAAGTAGGATGTTGGTTTTGTATAAAATATTTCCGATACCATATTGCTTCTACGTCAACATGTTCTATTGGGTATTCTATATATGTTGACGAACTTGTGAAGGATTTTGTTGGTGAGTGAAATTTTTCTGCTATGGGAAGGTACGGCTATAAAAAAAAAAAAAAAGAGGATTAGAAGAGGTTGATCGAACGATTATTTAATGAAATCAAATTATAATTCTATTATCAATCACCTGAGTGTTTACTGTACTCGCGGCAGTGTATGTGGAAGCAGCAGATATGCTAGTATCTCTAGTATGTCTACCATAACTTTTTTCGCTACCGCTAAAATAAGTCGAAGTAGGTGAAGTTGGTGAGGTTGGAGAAGTTGGTGAATATGGTGAATAGGGTAAAACGCTCATTATGTAAATATTAAGTTTTAATTCATTAATAATTAAATGAAGACTATATATATGTGTCTGCGTTAATTACTATTTTTATGATTATTATTATTATTGTTATTATTATTATTATTATTATTATTTTTTTTTCTTTAAAAAAAAAATAAAAAAAAAAAAATTAAGAGAAAGATAAAAAAAAATGGAGGGGAAACAAAAAAAAATAAAATAAAGATTTGGTGCGTACAAGCCGATTTTAAATGGAATATTGTGTATCCCCCATAAATATTTTTATTAAAAAACGGTCGGGTTCATTGATCTCTTTGAAATGATCTCACCGACTACAGTCAAATATTGAATGCACCTAACCCTTATTGGTAATTAGTAAAAAGATGTTTGTTGAGCTCACATCACTTTTCACACTTTTCGCCCTTTCCACACTTTCCATAAAATGTATATAATGTTGCACGAATAGATAAAACGAGTTAACATTTTCGATACCCGATTTTCATTGGTGTCATTACGGGAATTAGGTTTATAGTTACAAAGAGATGATTTATTTGTTATGTTGTACTTTTTGCCGTCATACTCTCGTCATTTCATCAAATTACATGGACACGTGTATTCCAGGTGAGATTTTATCGAATAATTTCCTAAATCGAGCGTTCCGATATACAACTTTGATGCGCGATTTGATGCTGCGTAGATGATTAGCGTAAATATTCAAAGTTAATTTAGAATGAAATGACAATATTGGCACATTATTTTAAATAGTAATAATATTATTATTTTGAATGAGGAAACTTTTGAAAGTACTTTTTTATCATCCATAAAAGGGAAGAACCGAAAGGATTGGCTCTGAATAATGAAATTTTAAAGAAAATGTATCTAAAATTCCCAGGGTTTACCTAATATTTATTCTAATTTTCTTGGTTCAATAAAAAAAAAATCAAATGATTCATGTGTTGTGGTGCCAATAACATCAATGTTTTGTATCACGTGACGTCAATCCCAAACTTCTGTTTAGAATTTGTAGATTACCTTTAATTCCCTCATGATGTGGAGATTCATTGAACATGTCCTGATCATGATCATTAAATGCGATTTACATTTAAAAAAGAATCGGTGATCCTAATTAACCGGGATGTAGGGCTTTTTTATCTATTATTTCAAGAGTGGGAATGGCTAAATCTCCGAGTTTCCAATATCAATCATGAAATAATGAACCACGTGACTTTCAAATATCATCCAATTTACTTACGATATGATAATAAATATACGATTGATGTAATATTTTTTTAAATGGATGTTTTTTAAATTAAATTGATTGTAAATCAATATCTAGACACTTTGTTTGGAAAACAATAATCATCTTAATATCAATGATAGGTTGTTTTTTTTTCTCCCCTCCCACCCCCTTTTTTTTAAAAAAAAGTAATCCGGTTTTCCGTGATCTTTACTGATCAAAATGAGATACCCGCCGAATATTACAAAGGTCCAAAGGCACAGCCCTACAATTTCTAACAATATATATATTTTATTTTTTTTTTTATTTTTTTTTTTTAAATGAACAAATGGAATCATTTACATTTTGCCCAATGATCATATCAGTTGACCGCAAATGAAAAATAATGAACCGCCCAAATGCCCTTTTTTTTCTTTTGTTTGATGCCTTGAGCAGAAAGAGGCGTAATGATTATTTTTATTAACATGATCGTGTATCTTAAAAGGTGACGTATAATTGGTAATTGCAAACAATAATTAAACTAAAACAAAACTCTTACGGGTATCAACAAGATAAAATAAAAACCAATTATAGTTTGAGTCCATCTTGATGAAAAAATACAATGAGATGAATTTCCCTATTCTTCCTATTTATAATCATTAAAAAGTATCACTCCTCCCATGAACGTTTTTTCAAAAAAGATTTCATGTTTACTATAAAAAAAAGGAAATTCCTAAAATGGAGAATATAAGGACTTGGAAATGAAAACTTCCTAAACAAGAAACATAAAAAAGCATGCATGGTGTGCAAATCACGATAACGAGGTCACACAAAAGTGCACAATCGGAATTTAATTACTCACACGTGATCGGATGTTCTGAAAACTTAATTCGGTGGTCATCAATGAAAAAAAACCGAGTAATAACGAGGGACTTTACGGAATTGGGTAAGTCATAGATGATTTTTTTTTTACAATGAAGGATTTCTATCGAACATTCCATAGTTTCATGTCATGTATCACAATTAAAACTCCACAATATCAATTACCTATATTTAGAACTCAACGTTTTATTGTAACGTAACAAATTGACATTATTGACATTAATCTAACCTTTGACATTGCTTGCCTAAAATTGGAGTTATAACATGGTTTCCTAATCGGTCGCCGTGGGATTAAGTTAATGTTCTCACAGGCAAGCAAGTAATCGATTGACTTTTTTAAAATCGGATTAGAAATTCGTGATATAGATTCAAATTCAGCGTGACAATTACGTACGTGATAACTGCGGCTGACCGTGAAACAAGTTTTTACGACGCTACCTTTTGTTTATAGTATTATCTGTTATGATGAGTAACCATTATGAACGTGCCAAAAATCAGGTACTGGGAAATTCGTTTTAATCAAATTTTAAGTTTGATACATACTATTATTAAAATGATCAAGTTGAAAATTTCCGAAACCTGATTTTTTTTCTAGTAATTAATCCATAAAAGTTTAACATATATTCCATTGATTCCCTTTTTGTGTTGATTATTAAATTATTAAATTTATCTAGATCTTTCATAAGAAATGTTCAAGAATCAGAACTGTTTACCTTTTATATTCATAATTAAAAGAATTAACAACATTTCTTCAACTTATTTTTTATCTTTACCAACTTGACTGTAAGACCCAGAATACCCTTATTCTCAACGTTGAACTTCTCTTTTCACCTCACTTGGCAACATACGGCTTATTTAGATTATTTAGAATGTAAATAAACAATAAACCAAATTCATGAAAGAAATTCTCCACGTACCTTTCTTTCTGAAAGCGAAAAACTGATTAAAAAAAATGAAAGAAAATCATTATATACATGTAACATTCAATTATGGAAGTTTGAAGATATCATTCAGCTGCAGTGATACAAAAAAAACATTCTCGCGATCATTCATAAATTATTTGTTTAGAATTAATACAATTTAAATTATAAAAATAACTCGTTTCCTTATGTAATTATCATTTTCTCAATCGCGGTTAAGCCCGATATCATATCTTACAAAAAAAAAATCATTCATCTAAGATCCTCATTGATTTTCCTGGGTAATTGATTAACCGTAAGTATAACGAACGTAATTAAAAAGGATGATTCGGACCGAAAACTCACCAAAAGTGACCGGTGCTATCTTTATTTTTATTTTTATCTTTATTATTATTATTATTATTATTTATGTAATGAATGCAGCCGCTTTATGCATCGTTACGCACAAGATTAGATGAGTGACATTATTTTTTTTTTGAAGCTAATAGATAACAATCGACGGTTGATTCGGTGAATCGAATAAGTAAATAATTTCATGGATACAATAACAAAATGTGTTCACATTGTAGAATACAAATTTACATGAAAGCTAACCAATTATGTAACGATGAATGTGATAATTCATTATGATAATGATTTTATTACTCAAATAAACAAACTTTACCAAAAAAAATAATAAAAAAAAGAATTACGGCTCAACTAAAACTGCGAAACGCGATCGTTAAAGCCCAAAAACCTGTTTCGTGTGTAACATCACCGATTTTGGGATTTACTGAGTTGATTGTAAGCAAAAAAAAAGGTTCGGTTAAAAATGATCCATTTCTACTGCATTCCTTTACAAATGGCAGGTGATATTATCGAGCATGAAAAACGTGCACAAGATTTTAAAAGGTTTAATCTTGAATCATATACGGTAACAACAATAAAAAAAAAAAAAAAAAAAAAAAAAAAATAACAATAATGATAACAATAAGGATAAAAATAAAATTTTTTTTTTGTTTTGTTTTTTAACAAATTAAGGTTTTATTGAAAGTTTTCATTTTTTAATCGTGCAGATCATTTTCATTTCGTCAATGATATTTTACAAATTGCATAAATTGCATCTATTAAAACAATCAACACATAAGTCAGGAAGCAAGATTCTATATTTGATGTTATTTACATAATGAAGTCTGAATTATTAAGATATACTTACTTACGGACAAACAATATAGAAGATTTAATGAAATCAAAGGGTTATCTTATAAGCCTAAATCCCATGTCCGTTTGACATCATTGCATTATTAATTTATATTCCGATTTTCTGATTGAAGCTCCGACGCTTTGAAAAAAAGCGAAGAGGAAGTCCGAAAAGGGTTAATTTTGTCCCTTAAAAAAAGTCTTAGCTCAAGAAGTCTATATTACTAATAAATGTATTATGAGGACGAACTTCTGACGTTTACTGTTGCCAGTATAATCAATCACATGTACTGAACATTCCTCATTGTTTTCAATAAATAAATAATCTGGCCTTGTGTTTGTGCATTATTATTAAAAAAAACCACGAATCGCATTTTTCCATATCCACTTTATTTTTAGCCGTTTTGGTAAAACCCTTGTTTAAAATTTATCCGATGGACTTTTATGATGTTAAATGATAGAGACTGGATTTAGGTTCATTACAATGCGGAATGCGGGAAATCCATCCATCAAAATATGTGTTTTTCTCCCCATATGATCCTTGCTGCGCAACGCGCGTCAAACGGCGCAAAACTTTTTCAGATTTCACGAAAAAATCATTTTTGATGTATTTTTAAAAATGGATACTTTTTATTACTTTTAATTATATTAAGAAAAAAATTCTTTTTTTTGAAATATACAAAAATTGTCTAGGTTTTTTTTGTTTTTGCTTTTTTTTTTTTTTTTTTTTTTTTTTTTTTTTAAATTTATTTAGAAAAAGAAAATTAATTCGAATTATTATTTGTGGCGAAAATTTTTAAAATATTGAATATTTTTTTTACGAATGAGATTAAGACCGAACCGAATAAAAGAGAAAATCTTTTTTTTTTGTTTAACGTGATGCTTATATTATAAAGTGTTTTTGATTCATAGGAAATAAATCTTAAAAAAGAGTTTCGAGTTCTTTCTAATTAAGAAGGTAATATATTACTAAGATGAAAATAATGGAAATGATAATTCCCACCACAAATGTGCAAATACAGCCTATCCTTTTTTTTTTGCTTTGAAAAAAAAAGCGCCCCAAAAAAAAGAAAAATTGTCTATTATGAAAAATTATTACAAGAAATAAAGAATAAGAAATAAAAAAATTGTTCATGTTGAAGATTTTTACCAAAAGAAAGAAATTATTTGCCTATTCGCAAGAAATATATTAAAAGAGGAAAAAAAAAGAAAAATGTCTGTGATTTATGCCATTGGGAAATCATAAGTAGAATGAATGATAATCGCCAATGTTTATTGGAAAATTTTGACCCTGATTTGGGAGGTTTGCAAAGGCGGTGTACGTAAATAGCGTTATGCTCAATACAATTGCTGAGTCTACATTGCAAAGGGAAAGAAGATGGTGATTAATGAAGTTCGAAATCGAAAGAATGAGAAATCCTCAAGATTGAATTGTTTTACTTACTGAATAAGGCTCTTTCCCAAGGTTCAACTGAAGAGGTGGTAACTTCGCTTTGATAGCGTTTAATAGCGAGGTAATTGCGGATTTGTGAAATCATTTTTACGAGTGATTTTAGTTTTTTATCGTATTTTATTAAAAAAAAAGTCGTAGCAAAAAAAGTTTTATATCGTTAATGAAGATAGCTTTCGTATTCGTTAATAAAACAGATATTGATTTCTCAAATATTTGTTTCCTTTTAAAAAAAATCGTTTTGTTCAATGACCCTTCCTTATGTAAATTAATACAAGGTAAGAAAAACGAGAAAAAGGTGAAAAAATCAATAAGAGAGTTTGAAGTTTATTTATATAAGTGGTTTTTTTTTTATATATATATATATATATATTTATTTATATTGATTATAAAAATAAAAATATAAATTTTTTTTTTGTGCGCTCATTATTTTACAATAGTGATAAGTTAAGTATGTATATTATGTATGATATCGGAATATCTTGTGTTGGGAAATGAAAATCAGTCGTTTTTTTTTTGTGTCAAATTTTCACTTATCACACGATGACTATGAATGAAATAAATGTAAACAATAAAGAAGGGAACGTACAGCAAAGCTTCCTTTTAAAGAATTTCCCGGACACGAATTTACATAATAAAAAAAATATATGTACGTTTATTTTTAAATTTTTTTTTTTTATGTATAAAAAAAAAAGATAAAAATACTTGGTCATGATGTCAAATTTATGATATCTACAAATTCTTGTGATCAAACTTAAAGTGATATTCTTTTTACCGTACGTGTGACTATTTATATTTTTTTTTTTTAGAGAGTTATTTTTGTCAGAAATGTTACACGAGGTTCGACACCCACCAAAACTGTGTATATGTTATTTTCTTTTTTTCTCTCGTTTTTTTTTTTTCTTTTTTATTAAAAAAATAAACAAAAAAAAAACAATCAAAATTAGGTTGTAAATCAAAGGAAAAAATTTAAAATGATTGAGAATTCGAATTTATCCGTATCCTTTTTTTTTAAAAAAAATAGAAAAAACTTGAACTAATTCATAGTCATAAATTACTAACTTAAGATTTTCAATGATGCTATTTTCAAAAAAAATCATTTTTTGGGCGTAATCGTTCATTCTCCGCAGCACAACCTTGTAAAATTTTTGTGATATGAAAGAAATACATATTTCATATTCGTGATCTCAGATAATGCAGTCGAAAACATTTCAAAAATAAAAAACCACAGAAACATTCATTGTTGGGCGCAAATGAAAAAAAAAAAAATACAAAAAAATATATATATACAAAACTAAAAATTGTACCTTGTTACTCAAAGGATAAAAGACGTAATAACGTTGAAATATTGAAATATCGTAATTCCTTTAAAAACTAGGCCTACATTTGGGCGTAAATTTCACATCAATGGGTTTGTAATTAAATTCGCTCCGAATTAAATCCAACCTTGGCCGACATTAAAATCCTTACGGCAGGATTTGAAACATTATTTAACTGTCAAACTTCAAATATTGAAACTTGAATAGGTAATTCGGAATAATAAGGTTTATCATATGTTACTAAATTGGCAATAACAAATAATATTTTTATTTCCGGCTTATTGTTTATTTTTAAAATAGAGTGTAATATATATATTTAGGAAGAAACATCGTAAAATCGCGCCCATATCAACAAACTTTGGGCAATTAAAATAAAATATATTTGTAGAAATGTGCATTATAAATACTAAATCAAGAAAGGAATTAATGATCTACGACCTTCTCGGTAAAAATCACAAGCCGGCGTTTTTAGTTTTAAAATAACCGAGATTCTTCGTTTGGATTTCCCGAGGAATAGAAAGATTTTCGGAAAGTAGATATACGATTCGACATGAGTACAAACTTTAAAAACTACGAATTTGATTTATTTAATTTTGATGTAATACAATATATACGGGAATCTTTTGATTTGTACCTCGTGGGAGATTGAGAATTTGTTTTTTTGTTTTTTATTTATCTCTACTTTTATTTTTATTTTTTTTTTTCCTTTTTTTTTTTTTAAGAAAAAAAAAAAAGTAAAAAAGATTTGCATTCCCTATCTCTATATCAATCAGTCTGGTAGCGTGGTTGGCTGAAGGATTTGCCTCCACATGAAATCAATATTGTTTATCTGGTATCATACTAAAGTTTCGTGTGCTTGTTGTACGTTGCGAAACGCGCGAAGTCCGCGACTGGTCTTATCTCTTCAATAACTTTTTGATTTTCTTTATGTAAGATCTCACAAAAGAATCAAAGCCGGTCATTCTGCCCCTTACTGATTTAGTGTTGGTTTGCCATGTATCACAAGAAATTTGTAAGAAAAAAGATGTATGCACACAAGCATTTCGTCGAATGCGTGAGAATTGTTTTCCTTGATACAATAAGTTCGTTAATGATTCGACAAATTGAACAATATCTTAATCCTTTTGTTTTAAACAATGCATGTAAAATTTTTATTTTATCAATAGTTTAATTCAAAATTAAGTTTAGAAAAAAAAAAATTTTTTTTTAAAAAAAAAAAAGTCGGGAGGAGATAGTGCAACATTTTGACAACTTGGATACACACGCACAAAAAAGACAAAAATATAATTTGTGTAAATCAATTATATTATTAATATTTGGCCAAAGGTTACAGATTCATCACTGACACTTAAATATGACTTGCTTTTTCAAAAAAAAAAAAAAAAAAATAAAGGAAAGCTAAAACATAAATTTCGATGGATTTGTACAAGAAAACATCAAAAAAAAAAATAAATAAATAATATAACTTTTTTTATATTTAAGAGATGGATTTTGTCATCTAGCATGAAAAAAATAAAAATAGGTTTTTTTTTTTTCATTCAAAGGATTTCTTATTTATGCATATCCATTTAGAGAATCAAGTTTCAAATCCTGTCTAATGATGTTAAATGTTGAGATTTGGTTTGCCGGAACCAATCGATATCAGACCTCCGCTCGGCTATTGTCTTCTTTTTTTTTCCGACACATACGATAAGTTCTTGCCTATCCAGGTTAAAATTTTCTATATAAAACATCATTTATTTATATGATTATACGCAATTTCAGGGAAATTAAAATCAAATGAGTAAATAAACGGTAATTTTCGAGGAAATGAATTTTAAACAAGGATGCAGGGTTCGGATGTAAAAAAAGATAAGCCCCATTTTTATCAGTACATTAAAAATATATTTTGTTGTTATCACTTTAATGAATTTTGTAACGAATTTTTCCTTATTTTCCTTGAACAATTTGATTTGAACGATAACAAAAAAGATAACAGAAATGATTTATTTTCTCACCATATAGTTGAATTAATTGAAAAAGTCCTCATTTAATTTTTTTTTTTTAAGTTGCATAATTTTATTTTATATATTATAAATTTTTTTTAGGTAATATACCAAGTTAAATTAACACCTTTACTAAGAGAAATTTTTTCATTGTTTACGGATTTGCCTAAACTAGGTTATTTATAATTTTCCTTTTCGAACACAATTATTAAAATTATTACAATGGACTCATGAAATTACCATTTCTCAATGCATCTTGTTGAAATTAGAAAGGATCTTATTATTTGTAAATTCCCCATTTTTTTAGTGGTTTTGATGTGATGAACTTTTACGAAACATCACATTCTCCATGACATTTCCTTTTGTTGGATGATCAACATGCCCACAATATCGTTTAAAAATCATCCCACAAACATTTTTTGTTCGATACGATCTCGATCAGTTAAAGAAAGTGGACTTCGCCTTTTGACTTAATTAATTAAAGAATTAATTAGATAATAGAATCACCTTATAATATTATGTTTTTGAACTTTTCCAAATGTGCTCGTCTTATTATTCGTTTTCTATAAAAATAAATAAATAAATGAAAAATGTACAATCTGAAATCGGTAAATATTATTAATTTTGTGGAGGGTCTTTTTATAGTTTTGATGTCGTGATATGTATTAACACTTGCATGACATTTATGGGTGCAAATAATTGGTTAACATTCACGCAGGGGTAATGGGAATTATTGGATGAAAACAATAACTATAATATCTCTTGTTCAAATATGGTCAATTCAACAAATATTGTCAATTCAACAAATATTGTCCTTTTTAAAATATAATTCTTTATCGTTAAATCTCATGTTGCATGGAAAAAAAAAGGTTCGTGTTACATTGGTCGGCGGTGTGTAACCGCAGTAAATCGCAATTACCAAAAAAAGCATTCTTTAATTAAAAGATTCCTAAAGCTTTTGAGCTTTTTGATATGTATGGTTGGTCATAGCACAAAGGAAAAAAACAACAATCATGTCCCCAAGTCCCCAAGCATAATCTTGCCTTATATTAATTATGATATTAAAAATTTTTTTTTTTTTTTGACAGCTTACGGATCAATCTTTCATTTTCTTTTAATACGACGACGAATGGTATAAAATCCAATGTTAAGATCTTATCGATATAAATTAATGAATACTCGTCTTATTTGTGTTATGTTTTGATTTCTCCATACATATAATATATTAGCAAAGCAAACAACGCTTGCTTTTTTTTTTTTTTGATTCACTCTTGTTTCCTGCATCAAATAAGCCACGATACAGGTTGGTGTTACTGCTAAATAATTTAAGATCCATGAAAAAAAAATTAGGCGGTTATATGTTTCGTTGATCGACGATCATGGCCTCTAAAAATCTAACATTTGAAACGTTTCTAAAAATAATAATGATGATTCGGCATTTCTTTTTAATTTATGACGAATATAGAAACTGTAGTTGGTACATATTTATTTTTTTTGCGCACCAAATCATAAAATCTCCATTTAATATTTCTATAAACAATAACAAATCGTACATGATTTTGCTTCCGTTGAACGTTTTATGTGAACGAATGTGGAGTCGTACATAGTGCACATTCGGCATATCAAAATATGAAACATTGTATATTTCTAAAACAAACAAATCGAGCCACGACATTATTTTGTAACAAGAAGTTGAGAAAATGTAAAAAAAAAAAAAATCTTGTTTCACGTGCACGTGCAATCCTTAGCGGAAAAAAATTCGTGATGTTCATAACATGTCCCCT